TGTTCGAACATCATTTCAGTCGTAACCACTTCCTCACTGAACCATACCATACCGCAACGCGACACGGTAGCCAGAGTGGCGTATTTCAGGTCTGCGACTTCGAAGATGATACGAACCTAAAAGATCAGTTTCAGACAGAGTTCGCGTTTGTTCTTTTGTACACAACCGTACTTACATTTGGTGGAATGGCTAGACGCTCTCCATTTGGTAGAGTAAGCAACTTGTTGTCATCAAGCACTGAGTTCAGATTTTCTACCCATTCGGGGTCAACATCTCCATCAAAGATGATCCATTGTCGCTTTTCACTTTCGCCTCGGACATTATCAATGATTCTAAATTCCCAAATATAATAGTCAAAGACCACATTGTCAAAAAAGTATGACTACAGTACAGCTACCGCTTCCGTAATTCATAGCTTCCAACCTCTCGGAATACTCAAATAAAAACTGCTATCATACAAAAAACACGGACAGTACTTTGCCCAACTCCTTAGATCCATTCTACCACTCTTTCCCATCCCCTACCTCTCCTCTCGCACTCAACGAAGAAAAGTTCGCAGATTTATATCAAATCGCCTTTACTTACTTCCTGATTACGGAAGTGAACAATCCATCTGTCCATTCCCTAGTGTTTGGATCCAGTACACCATACAATGCATCTTTGCTCATTGCCTTAGCATCAATCACATGCGCGACTCCTTCAATCTTTTCATGACGTTCAAGCGCTTTCAACAGCACTTTCCAAGCCATAGTCTTTCCGCTGCCACTGGCTCCAACGAGCATGAGACCGTGGTTTAGGTTAGTGATCTGATAGAGTTGTAGCACTTTCTCAACCCAAGCAGCTCCAAGTTCTCCTGTCATATCCGCATGGCAAAGCATAAATTCGTCACAAACTTGAGCAATTTGTTGTCGAAGCCTGCAAAATTAATCACGAAATTTTTTAACATCCATACAACTCATTAAAAATCAAAATCCTCACTCAAGCATCTGATTCGGCGTGTAATGAATGGATGGGAAAACATCAGATAATAGCGAGAACAACAGGGCAATATCTTCACTGACCAATTTCGGTACCAGCGTTTCACACACAGATTGAATCAGCATCTAAACGAA